CACCCCTTACGCAGATCGGCAGGGTCAGGGTCCAAAAACACAGGAGATTTGCCACATGTCTCAATTCTGGCGGCACCCCTCACGCAGATCCGTAGGGTCAGGGTCCAAAAACACAAGTGATTTGCCACATGTCGGTGGCACCCGTGACGCAGATCCGTAGCGTCAGGGTCAAAAAACAAACAAGTCCTGACACTGCTTCACGGCGGCACCCAGACCTCATGATTTAGCTCTTGCATCTCCCATTATCCGAGACAGGGGGCTGGCGGCATGGGGCAAAGCCCTTACGGATGATAATATTGGTATTGAATAATGGTATTGATTAGAACTAGTCATCACAATACAATAAGATTCAGAGTGAGATTCATAGTAATAACAATAACAATCATGATGATATGAAGTATAACAACATGAGGAGGAGGAGAAGAAGGAGGAGCAGAAGGGAGAGGAGGAGGAGGAGAAGGAGGAGGAGGAGGAGGAGGAGGAGGAGGAGCGGCTTAGGCCTCCCGGCGGCATGGACGCGCCCTGCTCAGGCGGGGCGCGCCTCTGAGGGCCGCGCCACTGCCTGTCGCCGAGGCCTTCCTACTGCTGAGGGCGAGGGGTCCTGGGAGGTCCTCGGAACCCTAAGATCACGGGGGGGTGCTAAAGGAGCCCCTGGCCCAAGGTGCGCCCAGCTGTTCGCTCAATTTTGGAGACCCTGGGGCCCTCTGGGCCTCCTGAGGTGTGCTCTGGTGGCCGTGGAGGCTTCCTTGGAAATCCTTGGGGCACCTTGGACCAGGGGCACTTCTAGCAACACCCGAGATCAGGGCGTTGCATGTTTGTTACGCTAAACGTTTTGGCCCGCTCCGTGCACTGGAATCATGACAGATCGATCGGACTCGAAGACTGCCTCGGGAAGATGGGGTCTGGGGCTCTGGTCGCAATTTGTTCGCGATGTTGCGATCCTGTCGCAACGTCAGATCTCAGGGAAGGCACTAGGGTGGACCTCGGGGGTCATTCCCGGATACCCTCGGGGGCCTTTTCGGAAGCCCACGGAGGCCTTCCTTCGGAGGCCTTCCTTCGGGGACCTTCTCGGAAGCTCTCGGGGGCCCTCGGATGCCTTGCTTCGGATGCCTCGGAAACCCTCGGACGCTGGGATGGCCGCTGCCGCCGCCGCCGGTCCGCCCCGGGAGGCCCAGGTGCAATGGGGAATAAAGGTTTATTTTTTTGGCAGTCGCTCGCAAGCAGGCCACCTCACAAGAAATTCTGCTATGGATGACTCCATCGGAGGCTCCTAAGGCGTTACAGGCCTCAGAGTGCAGTGAGCTGCTCGACCCTATGAGAGCGAGCTGCTGGATCTCCACGAGCTGCTGGAACTCCGCCCCACACTGGAGCAATGGGGAATAAAGGTACTCGCGCGCCAAGTCCCTGGCGGACGGGGCCTGCCTCGCCCTGGAGGAGGGAGGAGGGGCTGTTGCATATCTGGTCAGACCCATGACAGCCGAGGTCGTCTGACAACGGATGGTATCCAAGTGCCAAAGAGAACGAATATGAGAGCGAGGAATATACACTCGAAGTCTGACCATGCAAATATTGAAGACAGCGTGATCCACCGCCGCTTTACTGTGGAAAATCCCCCCCTCCGCAACCCGGGGGTCCCCCCCCCCCGAAAATCCCCCCCCTGCTGGACCCCCCCCCCTTCCATCCCACGGCAAAACCCCCCCCCTCCCTTAACCCCTCCCCACCCACCCTCCCCCTTCGAAAACCGGGAGGGGTCACTACCGGTTCGAACCCCTCCCCACCCCACCCCTCACCGCCAGCAAACGAATCCGGGTCCCTACCACCGTCCGCACCACATCCCCCACTGTTGTTCCCAGCACCACTGTCCTCCCCACCACTGTTCCCACTGGTTCCACCACCGTCCCTACTGTCCCCACCAGTGCCCCCACCACTGTCGCACTGTCCCCACTGTCCCCACCACTGTGCCCACCACGGTTCCACCCTCCCCACTTTCTCCACGGCCCCAACCACTGCCCATCTATCCCCACTGTCCCCACTGTCCCACTGACTCCTCCGCTGTCCCACTGAGCTGTCCCACTGTTCTCACCACTGTCCCCACTGTCCCCACCACTGTCCCCACTACACTGTACCTCTGTCCCATTGTCCCACCGCCGTCCTCGCCACCGCCTTCACCACTGTCCCCGCCACCACTGCACCTCCCACTGTCCCACTGTTTCCACCACTTTCCCACTGTCCCCACACCACTGTCCCCACCACCAACGTCCCCACCACTGTCCCACTGTCCCCAATGTTCCCACCATTGTCCTCACCACTGTCCCCACCACCGTCCCCACCACTGTCCCGCTGTCCCCACTACTGTCCCCACCACCACCGTCCCCACCACTGTCCGCACCCCTCCCCAGCTTTCGAAGGGGGGAAGGGTTCGAACCGGTAGTGACCCCTCCCGGTTTTCGAGAGGGGGGGTTCGAACCGGTAGTGACGCCCCCCCCCTTTTCATGATGGACTGGGGGGGGGGAGGGGTTCGAACCGGTAGTGACCCCCCCGGTTTTCCAGAGAGGGGGGGGGAGGGGTTCGAACCAGTAGTGACCCCCCCCGTTTTCCGCCAGCAGCGGTAGAACACGCTCTTTCAAATTTTGGAGCCCCTTGGGGCGTAACTTCCACCTAGATGCACGACTTACGCCAGAAACAACTCAAGCAAACAGGAACCGAAAGAACCCCGAGACCCATCCAAAACAAAGTGGCCACTCCACTTTTGACTGTAGTGGGGGGACGGAATCTGGGCGGGAAGGGATCTACTGAGGGAGAATGAAGGCAAAAAGGGACCTTGGTAGAGCAATGGATCTAGAAGGAAGAAATCGGGTCTTTCCCGGGGGGTCCATGGTCGGAGTGTGGTTGGGGGCCGCAGGGCACAGGACAGAACAGGAGGGGGCAGAGAGGAGGAAAGGGGAAATGAGGATGGTGGATCAGGGAGAAGGAGGTCGCAAGAGTCCTCCCACTGCTGCCCAATAGTATGGCGGATGCCCTAATCAATGACTTTGGCATTGGAACAACGCGGCGATACCACTCTGAATGATAATTTCCCGTCAATCGAAGACTCAAAATGCACCGCCTTCAACTGGCACAAATGAGTGCGACGTAAAACATCAATCGTCTTGGACGATCATGGCTTTGACAATGCGTTATTCAGCACGCTGCCGTGCGGGGCACGGCAACTCTGCCGCGGCAGACGACCACCATTGCGCTGGATCAAATTCAATTCAGCTTGACTACCGCAAATTCTTCACCGACCTGCCCGGCCCCACTCATCAGGAAACCCCCGCGCGCCCACCGGTGCAACAACACGATTGAAACGCCAAGCCCTTGACACACAACGAGGCTGATCCCTGGACGCTGCTCGACAGCGCGAGGCACGCGCGGGCCTATCTGCGCGACTTTCGGTGAGGAATCAACCCATCATTGGGTCGCGACAACGATGTCGGTCCCATCTAAGCAGGAATACTCCATTCCCTAGATATCGTTTGCACTCAGCGGTTCTCACTTGCGCTTTTTGAGTAGTTGGGTGAACGCGCCGAAATTCGCCCGCGCCCGCCCGCGAGCGCCCGCGGGCGCCTCGTCGCCGCCCCCTGCGACCCCACCCCTCCTGTTGATTCGACCGAATCCCCACCGCATCCACAATGGGTTCCCAGGGCCGCGCTCTGCGCGTGCCCAGGAACGGGGGGCCCCTATGGGCCCCTTGAGTAAAACGCGCGGAAACAACAAAAAAACCTGGCGAAAAACCCAACCATACGCAGCTTTGAATACCGCAATTGTGAATACCATCTTCGCCCGCGCTCTCTATGTGGCCACGACTTCCCGCCGGACCCCGACATGCTCATGGACACGTTCGTGGCCGTTTTCGCGGGCGCCGACGATCCTCGTGGACGGCGTCCCTCTGACCGAGGAGCAGAAGCAGAAGAGGGCTCTGAGAGCCATGAGGAAAGCTGCCACCGAGGCCTCCAGTCGAGCTCCGTATGGGGCCACGATCTTCGTGAGAGGTGTACCGAAATGGCCCGACACCGCCATGCGAACCGTGCCACTAAGGCCTTCGGTGGAGCTCCCTATGGGGTCACGATCTTCGTGAGGGTTGTGGCGAAACGGCCCGAGGCCGCCATGCGAACCCTGCCGCAGGGGCATGCGGTAGATCCTTGTGGGGCCACGATCCTCGTGACGAGTGTACCGAAATGGCCCGGGTCCGCCATGCGAGCCCTGCCACTGGCGCCTTCGGTGGAGCTGAACCTCCTATGGGGCCACGATCCTCGTGTGCCGAAATGGCCCGAGGCCACAGTGCGAGTCTTGCTACTAGCGCCGTCGGTGGAGCTCCCATGGGGCCACGATCCTCGTGAGGGGTGTGCCGATATGGCCCGAGGCCGCCATGCGAACCCTGCCGCAAGGGCCTTTTGGTGGAGCTCCCTATGGGGCCGCGATCCTCGTGAAGGGTGTGCCGAAATGGCCCGAGGCCGCAATGCGAACCCTTCCACTGGGGCACTCGGTGGAATTCCTTTGGGGTCACGATCCTCGTGAGGGTTGTGGCGAAATGGCTCGAGGCCGCCATGCGAACCCAGCCATTGGGGCCTTCGGTGGAACTCCTATGGGGCCACGATCCTCGTGATGGGTGTGCCGAAATGACCCGAGGCCGCCGTGCGAACCCTGCCACTGGGGCCTTCCGTGGAGCTCCCAATGGGGCCACGATCCTCGCGAGGGTTGTGCCGACATGGCCCGAGGCCGCCATGCGAACTCTGTCACTGGAGCCTTCGGTGGAGCTCCCTATGGAGCCACGAAGCGCTGCACTGGGTGGGCGAAACGCAGGGAGGAAGGGGAGGAGGGAGGAGGGGGAGGGGGAGGGCGGAAGGAGGGAGCAGGAACGAGGGGACCGTCTCTTCAAAACAAAGACCCAACACCATGGCACACACCTCGACGCGGGTGCCGACCTGGCAGCTCCTCGGCCTCCTCCCAAAGGGATGTGCTCAGCGAGCTGCCTCCACCACGTCCTTGAACTCGCCGAACGCGGTGGCAGCGGCATTCGCCGCCAAAGGGTCCCACGAGGAGAACAGCTTGTCGGGCACGGCCCCGGTGGCCCGGCGGCGCGCCTCCGCCGCCGCCTTCAGCTCGTTCCCGTCCGCCGCGGCGCCCACGACCATCGCCTTGTCGACGGCCATCAGAGCATCCGTCGCCGAGGCGCCAGGGAAAGACCCCAGGTAGACGTCGGACGCCCAGTCCAAGGACTTCATGAACGGGCAAGACATGTCCAAGAGCATCTCGGCCCCCGCGCCGATGCCGTCGCCAGAGGGCGCCGCCGCAGCGGGCCCATGCGAAGGCACCCGGTGCTTCTTCGCCGCGGCCTTGAAGGCCGGGGCGGCCGGGAAGGCCGAGCGCGCCTTCTGGGCATCGGCACCGCCCATAATGGACTTCAAGTACGCGTGGGGCCCCAAAGCCCGCAAGGGCCGAGACCGAATTGCAGACACCTACCACCGCGCCGCGCTCCAAGCCGCCCTGCGAGGTAGCGCTGACCGCGCCGCTGGAGCTACAGATGGCCTCGTGGCGGGCCTCCACCGCCGCCTTCAAACGCTTCGGGCCTGCTTGGGCGCCCATCACGATCACATTGTCGATGGCCTTCATGCCTTCAGCGGCTGGAACTCCCCAAGCGCCTGAAGGCTGATTCCGTCGTTCAAGTCGACCTGCTCGGCGAAGGCGCGCGAATCGGCAAAGAGCTTCTTCTCGGCATCGCCGATCTCATCCGTCAGCGCGGGAGCGCCGAACGCCGCAGCAGCGGAGGCTGCAGCAGGCCGCGACGCGATCGCGCACGGGCCCCGGCACAAAGGCGCCCCTGCGAAGGCACGTGGCTGCCGCGAGCGCCCCGCAAGCCGCTGAAGGCACTCGGCGACCGCGATCCATTTCGACGCTGCCGGGCCTGGAGATCTGCCTCAGAGACAAGTTTGAACCAAAGAATACCTTGCTTCACATGGGTTGTACCACCTAACTCGCATCACATAGCTTGCACCACACATCTGACTCTGTTGATTTACCCATCGAATCCGGCGATCGAGGCCTCACGAGCTGCGAAGCACATTGCCGTTGCCGCGGCAGGCCGCCTGTCCCCACAGATCGGTGGATCTATTCGGACTACGAATGGGTGCTCCAACTGCATGGCGGCCAGGAGTGCCCCCGACGCTGAAAATTTGCGGGGTTGAAAATTATTGCTCGGGCTTCCGTTCGAGGCCAGACGACGATGCGTTTCTACATGCAGTGGCGCCACCGACCGGAGCGAGTGGGGAGGCAAGCAACGAGTCACAAGACCTTCCTCGCAAAAGTGTGGCTTCGGCCACACGCACTGCCCAGACAGCACCGTCAAGCTAGAAAACGCCAAACTTGCACGAATGCCAACTGGCTCCGCCGGGACTTAAGCAACAGACAGGAACCTGTCAAATTTCTGAGCGGTCCGCGCAGCAATTATGTCCCAGAACCGTTTGGCGATGAAACTGCAAAGCGGGGCTGGATATGGTTCGGCAACTTTAGTCCAAAACATACCGCCCTGACACTTGCCGACCAGCTGCTGGTGACGCTCGCCAGCGCGGGCGCACATTCTGCGGCCGCCGAGGCACCTGCGGGTGGCCATGCCAGAGAGATCGACAATATACCATACAAACGTGGTGGACTTCTTCAAAGGTCCAGCCCACATGTAGAAATCAGTGCACACACTACTGACATCCTTCCGCTGGGTAAAGGCAACGATTGAATTTCACAGCCACAGGCGCGAGGTACGCGGATCCCCCATGGACCAGGGAACCCGACGGAGGATGGCCTCACGACACAAGCGGCATGCGAAGCGAGTGAGATTGTTGGCCAGCGTCACTTTGCGCTGCAGGGCGGCCGAAAGGTTCGGCAGCCCCCGCGGCCAGGCGTCGCTCCTCAGCAGCGGCGGCCCGCCTCCACGATCGCGGATGCGGGAATAGGTCTGGCGCGGCAGCGCGACGTGAAACCCGATGATGAGGCCACCAGCGAGCCAGCCCATCAGCAAGCTCTGGTTCTTGCCCAGCGTCAGGTCCTAGGCGTCACTGAACGAGATGTCCCACCAGAGCACCTGCAGGCCTCCACGCGCAGCCGCGCGCCCGAGCCTGCCTGAGCCAGAGAAGATCTCCACGAAGACGGGAACCCTCAGGGGCTCGCGCAGGGCCGGCGTCGCCCGGCCGCAACGTCGGCGAGCAAGTCGGCGCAGAGCAGCGCGTGGGCACGGAGCAGGGCGGTCAGGCGCTCGAGTACCTCACCGAGCCTCGCCCCTTTCTCGTGCCGGCGGAGGCTGCTGTGGGCGCGCCAGCGGCCGCGATGGCGGATCTGATCCAGCGCCCTCGCGCCGGTCGCCGCGTCGTGGCTTGCGCCGCCGCGGCGCAGCTGGCAGCGGCAGACCGCGTCCACGCGCCGCAGCCCCAGCGCCTGCACCGCCCTGTCGAAAGCCTGCCCCGCCTGAGTGCTGCTGATCGCGAACAGCGGAGGCGCCGCGGCAGCACCCACGGGCCGCTTCAGCACGGCCCGGCGCCACTGGGCCCCGAACCGAGCCTCCAGCATGGCGGCGAGGGCTGGGCCGAGAGCCGCCTGGCGGTCGAGGTCCAGGAGCTGCGCCTGGTCGAACTCTTGGGTCTTCGAGGCCACCCCGTGCTCGCGGGCGCGCAGCGTCAGCGACCAGCTGCCCCCGGCCCGCGAGCCCGCCGCGGGCGGCACGAGGTCCTGCGCGCGGAGGGTGAACGGCTCGTCTGGGCGATAGCACATCTCGAACGTCAGCCACGTCACGAGCCCCTCCTCCCACAGGCCGCGCAGCCACATCCACATCACGATCATGCACATCACCTCGCACGGCACTCCGAGCCTCGACCCAGCAGGCGCCAGCCGCTGCCAGCCCTTGAGCGCGCGGCGGCCCCGCGGCACCCGCGCGCCGCCAGTCTTGCTCAGGGCCGACTGGTGGAACAGCACAGCGGCGAGCATCCGCTGCCCCAAGCTCACGCGCGCGCCGTCGAGGTACATCTCGCCCAAGAACTGCGACAGCGTCTGGTCGGCGTCGACCTCACCCTCCAGCATCGGGCGGCCCTGGCGCTTCAGCCAGCGCGTGAACGAGGCAAAGTCGTCTTGGCACAGCCGCGACGTAGCGGGGCGAGCCGAGTGGGTCTGGCAGACGGTCATCCCCTCGGCCGCGGTCGCCGCAGCCCGACGCCTCGCCGCCTCCTTCGCGCGGGCCCGCCCGGCGCGCGGCGCCGGCGCTCGCGCCGGCGCCCGCGGCGCCCGACGAGGGGCAGCCGCCGGCGCGCTGCTGGGGGCGGCCCGCATAGGACACGCCGCTGACGAAGACAGGCTCGAAGCGGTGGGCGCCCGCGTCTGACTGCTCCTCCCCGAGGGCCTCGAAGCCGACCCAGTCGACACGGGGCCGGTCGACGGCGTCGCCCGCATCAGCATCGCCACCTGTCGCGGCGCGCGGCCGCGGGGCAGGCGGGGCCTGCCCACCCGAGCGAAGCCACTCCAGCTCGCGGGGCTTCGAGAGAGACAGCGGCTGCGGCACCGAGGGAACTGCAAGCCCCCTCGAGGGCCCGTCGGCCACGTTCCACTCCGAGGGGAGCCACCGGCAGTGTAGCACACACCCAGTGGCAAGACAGAGAGCAGCGACAGACTGGGCGACCTTAAGCATCGCCCTGGAATCCGATCGCCCCTTCGAAACAGCACAGGCCGCGACGAGGGCGTCTCCCAAGACCGCGATCCGGCGCCCGAAGTTCTGAACGTTCCTCAGGGCGTGTCGCAGCGCGTGCAAGATGGCCCGCCCCTCAAGAATCGACATCGGCTCCTCAACATTCCACTTGCACCGCCCAACAAGCTTCCAGTCGCGTCTCAGGAGCTCCAGGGGCACCTCACGAAACACGGTCTCACGAGCATCACCGAGCCCAGAACCCAGAACAGTGGCGGCACTGCCAGCAGGCGGCGGGCCCCCGTCGACATCCCAAAATCCCCCAGACCCATTGTCGCGCACCCCGGACAGCCACTGCACCTCGGGGTCGTCGGACACGGCGGCAGCGGCGGCAGCCTGAAGTCGCGGAGGAAGACGCGCGCCCCGAGAGAAACGCCAGCGCTCGCAGTGCCTCCCAAGCCCATGGGCCTCCTCGACAGAGATCGGCGACGAGCAGACACCAAGACCAGTCGGGGACGCGTCGACGGCATACAGCGACGGCCCCCACGAGGACTTCAGGTTGCGCCACAGCAGCGGCGCGATCACCTCCCAGATCGCGAGCTGGTTGATGACACTGGGCCACAGCGGGGCCTCCTCATAGTAGAAGCGGCGGATGAACGCGAACAGCGTGTCGAAGACAGAGAGGCTCTCCCTTCGGACAAGGCTGACGAACCCCATATGCCCCACGAGCCCCTCCAGGACCTTCCCAGAGACGCGGCCACGGCGAAGCACGGCTCGGGCACATTGGCGGGCTCTCCAGACACGGGCCCGAGTGGGCCTCAGGACGGCGGCCCGGCAGCTGATGCCCCATCCCAAGACGGTGCGGTCACGGGCAAGACCCTTCCCGGGCGAGTCGACATCGGCGGTCGCGACCAAGCCAGCCCCCCTGAATCTCTCAACGACGGCGGACGCGAGGCGATTGACCTTGGAGGCGACAGTCGAAATAGCCACGAAGTTGTCGACATACTCGAGATGGCAGGCACCCGCGAGAGGGGGAATGACACGGCGGCCCTGTAACCGCCCCTCGGGTCGCCCTCCACGCCGCTCGACCAATGTCTCATGCACACGTTGACGCCGCCACAATGCCCAGGTCCACCCCATAGGGCACTCACGGAGTCTTGGGCACACCCACGCCCCGTCGTGCACCGGCACCCCGCCGATCTCAGTCACGCCGATATCGCGAGCACGAACACGTCTAAGGGTGAACAGATCCCGCAACTCGACAGGCAGCTGCAGGTGGTAGAATGCATTAGACAGATCAGCTTCTGAAATATATAGCGTCTCGTCTTCAGCGACCTGGAGGTTCCCAAGGGTCTCTCCAGCACGAGGCGCGACGTTATCAGGTTCACGAAACCAGACGTTGCTGCGACGACAGTCGCACACAAGTCTCAACCGTTGATCTTGTTCCGGCACACAGAAGAACTCCACGGACTCTCTGCCGCGGTCGTAGGCGAAATCTAGCAGGCCGCTGCGATGAAGCCGAGAGACAAAATCGCTCCACACACGCGTTTGGCGAAGCGCTGGGTCAGAATAGGGCGCCCTCGCGCCGCGCATCTTTCTCCTCTCCAGCGCCGGCCCCGCACGTAGCACACAATCGCGGACGAACTCCGCGACGCGCCTGCGCCCGCCTGCACCCGAGAAGTCCGCGAGCGGAACCGCATGGCCCCCCACGGACGGCAGCGAGAGCAGCTCGGGATTGTAGTTCCCCAGCTCCACGCCCTCGTCGGAACCGTAGAAGCCAGGCGCCCGAAGCCTCCGCAGAGCTTCCGAGGAATCGACGCCTGCCGGTGGAGCCCCCAGCGCTCCAACTGAGTCGCGCACGTGCTCCGTGACGCGCTGCTGCACCAGCGACAGATGCCCCCCACTGAGTTCACCCTCTCCGCACGGCACAACGTCAGGAGAGTGATGCAATGAATTTAAAACGACTACCGCCCTCCGAACGTCGAGGTCACGAGCATGACGCTGCTGAACCCGCTGACGGCATCCCCGCGACAAAAATCCACCACTGGCAGGGCGCTCAGAGGCGACCGGCGGCACTGGCAGAGGAAGAGGATTGCGGGCAACCAGACGAGCAGGCTCATCACGGCCAAAAGAAGAGCGCTCGAATTGACCATGCGAAGACGCCCCCCGGTCGCCCGGCAACCGGGGGCAACGAAGGGGGCGCCCCATGCCCCCTCAACCTTGACCATCTTTCTTGCCCCTCTTGAGAGCTCCTTCTCTTCGCGAACCTTACGGAGGTTCTTTGCCAGGGCAGCTTCGCGTTCAACTTCTTCACGTACGAACTCCAACAAGTCGGGGCACGCCATCAAGCTGGACGAAATCCGAGTCGAGCCGGCAAAGTGAGTCTGCTCCTCGATCGACAACTTCCCGCTCTGGTTGGCCCCTTCTCGCTCCCTCACCTTCTCCTGGTAAGAATATTCGATCGTCTGCATGCGTCGGAAGATGGGTTCGCAGGCCTGCAAGTTGGTACGGTCGCACTGGTCCGAGAGCAACAGCAAGCGGATGTACTGCGCGCACTGGAAGTGCTCCTGCACTCCCCACTGCGTCGGCTCGAGCTTGGCCACCGCCCGAAACCGATCGTGATGGCCGTCGATGCCCATCCCCTCATTGCTGATGAACTCGATGCACCAGAACGTCGCGCGAGGGCCCGTCACCAGCCAGTCGCGCCCGAAATCCTCCTCGCGAACGCGGGCGGCCATGACGGACCACGTCGCCTCGCGGCGGGCGCCCGTACGCATGACGGGCATCACGCGAGCGTCCGCGGCCACGGCGCGCCCCATTAACGCCTCGAGCTCGGCCGCCGGCACCTCCTCCACGAACAGGGCACTGCCGTCCCCGAGGGCGTGGAGGTCACGCCCGCGCACCGCGGCCGCCGTCGCCACATGGCCAGGCACCTCGTCGCCGTACCGCACGTCCCCGAGCGACTGCGCCGCCCGCCAGCGCGTGCCAGCGTCCGCCGCCGCCGCCTGAGGCGCCACGCCCTGCAGCACCCCTGGGCGAGGCCCAGCGGCCGCCACAGGCCCGGCCGCCGCCGCCGCCGCGGCGGGGGCGGCGCCGCTCGGTCCGCCCGGCACCAGCGCGCGGAAGCCCGGCGCCGTGAGCAGGTCGGGCCGCCCGATCGTGGCCGCCACGACGCGACAGCGATGATCGGCCAGCAGCTCAGCATCTCGAAGAACCACATGCTTCTCAACCGCCGTTGGCTCCTCCCGAAAGCGGTACACCCGCGCAGGATTCACGCCGTTGGGCACGTCGTTCCATCTCGCGCTCCACCGAACCAGGTCCACATCTTCATTATGATTTTCGTCATACTTCTCAATGTACGTGTCGCCGTCCGGCGTGGTACCGACATACTCAGAAGCCGATAGCGCCACGCGGCCGGAAACCCACCTTTGGTGAAACAGGTTGTCCCCGACGTATCTCAGCCAACCCCACTCCATGGCCCACGACCTTCACGAGCAGCAGCGTCAGCAGCCCGCCGCCAACGGCACCGCCCAGCAGCCCTCGCAAGAAGGCACGCCAGGCGTCGCACGGCTCAGGCTCCGCTGGCCGTTCGCAAGCAGCGCAGGTGGGGCACGAGTGCGGCGCCTCCGCACGCCCCTCGGGCGCGGCGCGCGGTGCCTCCGCCGCCAGCGCGGGGCAGACCAGCGCAGGGCACGCTGGGCAGCTGACAGTGGCTGGCGGAGGGCACGCGAACGAGGGGCAGGCAGGACAGGTCAAGGAGCAGCTCGGACACTCGGGCGCAGCGGGGCACCGATGGAGATACGCGACGGTCGCGTCGACCGCCCCTCCCAGCGCCAGCTGCCACATCCGCGCCCCGCGCGGACCGCTCCGTCCGTTACGCCTTAAGCCCAAACGGTGAAGGCGGCCCGACCCACTCATGCTCCGCAAAACGCGTTAGTATAACTGCAATTGCTGGTGTTGTATTCAGTCTCGGGGGCAAGCTCGAGAAGGTCAAGGCTCACCAAGATTTAAGAGCCATGGCCCCAGGCAGAAGAGTATCGAACTGCGTGCGGCAACGATGCCGCAGACCGAGTTGCCAAGGCCGCCGCCAACCTTGCCAGCCAACCCTGCGAGTCTGAAGTAGAGCAGCATCCCAGCGGCACTGCTCTCCTTAAGAAGTACATCAGATAGGCTGCCAACGTACTTGGAGCATGGTCCGCAGTTGCTCCCTGCAGGAACAAGGCTCTCGCCAAGCCCGTCAAGAGTCTTTGCCCCCCGTCGGGTGCTTCCTCCGCTCAAGCCTCCTGGGATCCCTCGGGCTCTCCCTCGGGCCCTTAACCTGGTTCTCCAACTCCTCCTCCTCCCGAGGCCCCTGAGGAACCCCACAGGCAGCATGCGATTTCGTGAATCAAGGGGCGCTGGACATGCTCGCTGTGCCGTCAGACCAGCACACAGAAGAAGCTTGACCAATTCTAATTACGCGTCCCACTGCCCTGGTCATCGTACGCACCTTTCGGACCTGGCCCAGGATCCCAAGGGTCATGACTCACTCGATTATTACCACTAAGAACAGCCCGCGAGGTTGCTGGTATGCCAGAAGTGCGGATCCTGAGCAGAGCGTGACAGCAGAGGGCTGACAACCCAGTGCAAGAAAAGACCTTCCCACCAAGGGGCCGCCACACAGTCGGCTCGGGCCCAGGAGGGGAGGTTGCCCAGGAGTACTTGAGAGCTCTCCCATCGCGTTCAGGACTCCTGCTACTCCTGTGGCCAAGCTCGTGAGAGAGGAGCTAGCCAAGGACAGAGCTTCGGAGACATAGTGCCCTCCAGCTACCACAGGGCGCTGGTCATAGATCGTGGCCTGGAGACCAAGGTTTCGGGTTCGGGTCGGGTCGGCCAAGCCTTAGCTCAAACCATGCGATTGTCATCCTCCTCCTCCTCCTCCTCCCGTCCCCCTGCCTCCTACCCGCTCCTCCAGCCGACTCCCCCTGCCTCCTGTCCGTCGTCCTCCCTCGCCCCTGAGCCCCGACCACCTGGACTTCTCCTTCCCCTCAATGCCTCTCCTGGAAGACAAGGCACTGCATAAACATGTTTCTCAGGCTTTCCGCGAGGAGTTCTTTGATCGGCGCTGGACCGCCTCCCTGGAGCGCGGAACGCGGCGGGGGCGGCGTCGGAGGCGCCGCCAGGGGGGCCCAGCGCAGGATCCAAGAAATCCGTGCGGACCCCCGAGAAATTATGATAATTCGTTTGAGGTTCGGACCCAATCCTCTCCTGCCTCTCAACGAGATCGTCTCGTACTCCTCGGCGATAACCTGGGATACCCGATGGGGGGGGAAGGGGGGAGGTGCCGGCCGAGAACCGAACCTTTTCGCTCGGGGCAGCCCCACGTACGCCCGCGCGCACCAATACTGCGAACCCACCCTTCGGACCTGTGCAAGGGGGGGAGGAGGGGCGGGGGCGGGCCCGATAACCCAGATTAGCGGCGTACCTTCAAAAAACAATATCAACGCCTCTCCTCCTCCGCCCATTCCCTCATCCGCCGCCGGCTCCTCCGGAAGCAGGCTGCCGTCGTCCAGCCGGGGTTTCTTGGCCATGGGCTCGTCGTCATCGTCGTCGTCGCCGTAGTCCTGGCAGCGGCCGGTCGGGGGGGGGACCGCCAGAGTCCCCCGCCGGGGAAGCCCCGCTTCCCGCAGAGCGTTTCCTTCCTCGCGGTCTCTCTTGCCCCTCAGTCCTTCGCCCTCGCCTCCCGCCCTCAAGTATGGCTGTCCTCGTCTGTTCAAACCCCTCCTCCTCCTCCTCCTCCTCCTCCTCCTCCTCCTCCTCCTCCTCCTCCTCCTCGACCTCCCCCTCCTCCTCCCCCTCCTCCTCCTCCTCCTCCTCCTCCTCCTCCTCCTCCTCCTCCTCCTCCTCCTCCGCCCCCCCGCCCCCAATACCCCTTCTTCTCATGAAAGCACACCTCCTGCTAATCCACCTCCTCCTCCTCCTCCTCCTCCTCCTCCTCCTCCTCCTCCTCCTCTTTATTCTCCACCTCATCCTGGTACTCTTCGTCCTCATCATCACCACCCATCACCATCACCATCACCATCACCATCACCATCTCAATCACCATCACGATCACCATCACCATCACCATCACCATCACCATCACCATCACCATCATCCATCATCATCATCATCATCATCATCATCATCATCATCATCATCATCATCATCATCATCATCATCATCATCATCATCATCATCATCATCATCATCATCATCATCATCATCATCATCATCATCATCATCATCATCATCATCATCATCATCATCATCATCATCATCATCATCATCACATCATCATCATCATCATCATCATCATCATCATCATCATCATCATCATCATCATCATCATCATCATCATCATCATCATCATCATCATCATCATCATCATCATCATCATCATCATCATCATCATCATCATCATCATCATCATCATCATCATCATCATCATCATCATCATCATCATCATCATCATCATCATTATCAGCATCATCATCATCATCATCGTCATCAACATCAACCTCAACATCAACATCAACAGCATCATCACCATCATCAATCATCAATCGTCAATCATTATCAGCATCAGCACCTGCATCATCATGGGCGCCAGCATCCCGTACACCGACGGCTCGGCGATGCACAGCAAGGCGGGGTCGCCCGAAGTGCGCGCTGGGTGGGGGCTCGCGGTACTGCAGACCCGCGGTGCACCGCACGGCGCCTGGGGCTGCGTCCCCGTTCACCTGCCGCAGGACGCAAACGCGGGCGAGATCCTGGCCGCAGCCCGCGCTCTGCTCTGGGGCCTGCCAGGCGCGGATGGCAGCCTCGAGCTCAGGACGGACTGCAAGCTGCTCGTGACGTGTTTCGCCGCGGGCAGGGCATGGTGCTGCGCATGGGACCGCCCGTACCTTCAGGTGTGGCGCGAGTTCTGGCAGGCAGTGGATAGCTTCGGCGGCCAGCAGTACGTGCGGGTCACCAAGGTGAAGGGGCACGCTACGCTCCGCTCGGTCCGCGACGGCTACACCATGATGGACGACTGCGAGGGCAACGGCGCCGCGGACGACTTCGCCAAGAAGGGCGCTGAGCTCCACCCCACGTGCGAGGCGGTGGTGAAGCGCATCGAGCTGACCGACGCGATCGCGGTAGCGGCGGCCCGCTGGCTCGGCGAGGCGCTGCAGCTGGGGAGCGCCGCCCTCACGGCGCCAGACGGGAGCCAACCTGCTGCGGGCGCGGGTGCGGGCAGCGGGGCGCGGCGCGCTGCCGCGACGGCGGGCCAGGCTGTAGACGCTGGCCCTGCACGGCGCACGGCACGGCGGTTTCGGACGCGAACGGGACGCGCTGGCTCTGCAACACCTCCGCTGGCCGATCGGACGGCACGCCCGTTCACGGTGGGCCGCCTGGGCATCAGGCAGCGGGGCTGAAGCGCCAAGCCCCTGGCCAGGGGGCGACACGCGGCGCGGCCGCCCGCGGACCACCGCGAGCGCGGGCCACCGAGGCGCCGAGGGCGCGGGAGCGGCCGCCGCGGGCGCGATGGCAGCAGCGGCGCTGGCAGCACAGGCCCGCGGAGGTGCCCTGCACGACGACGGCGACGCGGACGCGGAGGAGAGCGGCGAGGCAGCGGGGGCCGAGGCCGCGGGCGGGGCGGCCGCCCGCGGTGGTGGAACGTGCGCTTCGACGAATCGCACCACCTCTGGGCGATCGGCGAAGGGCAGCGGCGCCTCGCCTTCTGCGCGGCTTGCGGCTGCTACGCAGACGGGGCGCACGTGGTCTCGCTCCGCGGCAGATGCGCGGGTGGTGTCAGCGCCCGCCAGGCCGCCGCGCTGAGGATGCGGCAGGGGAGGCACCCCACGCGGGGAGGCGCGGGCGCCGAGCTCGGGGGCGGACGGCCCGAGCCGCTGAGCCGCCCGCGCAGCCGTTCGCGGGGGGGACGCGGCTCGGAGGCGAGGGGCCCCCGCCGCTGAGTGCTCACTGCGCTCACCTCCCCTCCTCCCTCCTCTCGGGGGCCCGAGGGCCCCGTGCGTGCGCATGTTACTTTACAAAGGCTGCGCCGAGCACCCCTCCCAGACCGTTTCGGCCTTACCCTATCATCATCATCATCATCATCATCAGCATCATCATCATCATCATCATCATCATCATCATCATCATCATCATCATCATCATCATCATCATCATCATCATCATCATCATCATCATCATCATCATCATCATCATCATCATCATCATCATCATCATCACCACCATCATCATCACCATCATCATCATCATCACCATCATCACCATCATCATCACCATCATCATCATCATCATCAGCGTCATCATCAGCCATCATCATCAACATCATCATCATCATCATCATCATCAGCATCAGCATCATCATCATCAGCAGCAGCAGCATCATCATCATCACCAGCATCACCAGTATCATCATCAACAGTCTCATCATCATCAGCAGCAG